TTTGCTTACAAAATTTTTGAATGTTTTAGTTTTTTTTTTTAAAAATTTTTTTTTTTGGTTTTGATCCCCAAGGTAAAAAAAAGGGAATGGGTTGTCTATAAACTGATGCAAGAGTTGTTTAGCCAGACTAATTGGATGTGAATTCTATGTTCCTTTGTGAGGCATGAGAAGGCCCTCGCCTAAGCCTAAGTTGCAATGTTCTATGAATGAGTAGAGAGATTTTAGAGAGAGAGAGAGCGAATTGAGTCAGAGAGAGCGAGAGAGAGAGGAGTAGAAGGTCGAGAGATAGATCTTGAGGTAACAAGCTCTCTCTCTATCCTCTCTTCTCTCCCTTCTCACTCCTTACTCTCTCTCTCTCTATCTCTCTCTCTCCCCCTCTCTCTCTCTCTCTCTCTCTCTGGTCACAGCTGGATCGGACGTGTGATGGTGAGACTCCTGACCTGGGTGATCTGGAAGAGTCTGAGAGGGAGACAGTCCAGGCCATACTGGATGTTGTAGACCAATGTGTTGGGGAGGATGAGATCAGATCCTCACTTCTCACTGCCATCCACCTCATTGTCAGTGCCATGGACGGTGAGATAGAGAGCAGTTTCCACAGGATTCTGTGTTATTATTTGATCAGTTACTGGGAAACTAGGTTCACTACTGTGGTTTTATATGTGTGCATATTTATTTCTACAGGAATGACAGATGAGGGTCTCTCTGTGTTGGGATCATGTTGCAGTCCTCCAGTCTTACAGGCCCTGCAGATCCTGGTGAGTTCACACCTGCTTGATTGAGCCTCCAATCCTGTATGGACTGGACTTCATTTTTCAAAATTTTTGTTTATGTAAATGTCTTTGGGTATATCTTCCCATTCTAAATAAACTAATATTTCTACCATTATGATAACATTGTGCCACCAGTAGCAGTAGTAACACCGATGATAGTAACCAGTGGCGATTTTTAACAAAAATATTGGTGGGGCAAACTCAATGAAAAAAGTGAATATGAATCGATACATTACTACACTACACTAACCATAGAATGCACCATCATGAATAATTACCACTCCCAGAAATGAGTTTAGAGCCACACACACAAACGTTCTAACATATGGGTTATGATCAGTGTATAGGCTACTTTCCCATATCTTTGGCTCTCATCACAACCGGCCGTGATTGGAAGTCCCATAGGGTGGCGCACAATTGGCCCAGCGTCGTCCGGGTTTGGCCGGTGTAGGCCGTCATTGTAAATAAGAATTTGTTCTTAACTGACTTGCCTAGTTAAATAAAGGTAAAATAAATAAATAAATACATTTTAAAAAATTGCACAGAGACCACGGTAGTCCGGCATACTTTTAAAGAGTAAAGTTGATTTTACTTCAGAATCAATCTCAGCATTGGTCTGCAATATTGCTAATCATTGTTAGAGTATTGGGACACAGACAAACACCATTCTGAGTGTAGTTGCATCTGCCTGTTAACAAGATGCTCCGGTTATGAATAAAACAACAAAGTTTATAAAGCTACTCCCTCGCTTCAACCATTGCATAGAAACAGTTCCATGGGTTATTACATTCTGACATCAATCATTAACAACACGTTGTAGCTAGCTACCTGTTAGCCACCACAAGTTCTATCCAAACCACTCATATTGAATTATTTTCTAACTTGCTTTATTTTAATGGAGGCCTGTTCATTGGCTGATGAGCACCAATATGTCTTATCTCTACATTTACTTTATTACGCAAAGTTTGAACATGATTTGCTAGGAGATAGTTGACATGATTCATGAAGACTTTTCAGCTAGCTAGCTAGAAGACGATAAACAACTATGAAATTGACACATCAGTCCAATCAAAGCTACCGGAGATAAGACGTCGATTTATCTGTGGCAAATGACATCAAGCCTTCTTGGGCGGGCACTACTAATGAATCTCTATGGCAGCACCCAAGTGGGCAACCGCTGCCTGAGTCTTCCAGTACATGCTGTTGCACTGTCCCAATGAATTCACTCACCCATCTGAACCTTTGAGAATGTGCCAATCACGTGCAGCCAATTGTGCGCAACCAGAGAAGATCAATGAGGGCTTTCCCCTGGCTGGCCTCTCCACAACAGATCACTGAATGAGGCTGAAACAGCTGCATTAGGGAGCTGTCTTACTCAAAGTGACCAAAATAACAATACAACCGGGAAGCGAGCACGTATGCTTAATTAGCTCAAGCAAATCAAATGTGTTTGCTTACTGATATAATATCATGTTGTGACATGAACGAAAGCCAGAATTACATGCAAAACACCGCCATCTCCTGGATAGTTGTGGGGCTGCCCTAAATGACGTGTCGCCACTGACAGTAACACCAATGACACATTTAAGTAATTTAGGATTTTCTTAAATGGAGGCCACCCATCTCAAATCTAAGGTCATTTAACCTTTAGTAAATTATTAAGTAAATTACTTTTTAAAGAGATTTGATTCATCATTTTGCTCAGGGTGTAATTTCCCTTCATTTAAATTGAGTTACACCAATGACACTTTTTATTTAAACACACCAAATGATCAATGGAATCATTATATATTTATGACGTACTAAAATGGTGTGATTAGCAAATAATTGTTTTTAATATAGGCCCCTACCCTAATAACAGTTTGCCACTGGAAGGAATGCTCAAGGTCCTTGTATATCTTTGTAATTAGTGATTTACAAGGCGGTAACACTAATGATATTAAATACGTTTATATTATAGCATTCAAATAATAGACATCTCTAAATCCCCAAAACATGTCACTACAACTCTACTCATCACTACTGGGACAAGCCAATTTGCTTTCCCTAAGTACTTTAAACGATGCATAAAAATAAAGTTTTGCAGTATAAAGGACTAATTGTCATTTAAAGTGTTTTTCATTGTGGCAAAGTCGAAGGATGCAAATGCCAACTTAATTCAAGAATGACCCAGAAAAGAAAGCATATAAATGTTATTCCTTTGCTGCTTGTCCTCCAGGTGCAGCATGTGGCAGCAGGGAGTGGGGAGACCCTCTCTCTGAGAGATGCAGGTCTGGCTGTTCTGACTGAGGAGGAGGTGTTTGGGAGGACAGAGAGTCTCTTTGGTCACTCTAAAGTTACACTGAAGAGAGAGGAGGTCACACTGAGAACAGAGATGAAGGACCAGCCTGGATACCTTCCTCTTGTCATGAGTATCACTGTGAAAGGCCTGGCCTTTTTAGTGCAAGCTGAGAGAGAGTGAGTGAGTGAGCTAGAAAATCATGTTTGAACTAATATACTCACGATTCCATTCCATGTGTTACTCTTGCACTAGTTGAGCTAAAGAACTAGTGAACAACAATGTATGTATCCTTGTAATGCTTTCAGTAAAGTTCAACAAACAATTACAGATGTCCCGGCCTCCATTCTTCTAAACATAAGATAATATATCATAAAGGCACACTGGTGGGAGGAGGGTGGGGGGGGGTCCTACATTTAGAGCATTGTCTAGTGACCCACATGACAAGAACAGAAACAGAATCCTGTTAAAAATACTGTTCACCAGAATCACATCTCCAAAAAAATCCTAAACATTTCTGTGAAGACTGTTATTGTACTGTACAGTCATTTGAAAGTGTAAACTTTCTCACATTACCGTGCTACCAGGTGCAAAAACCATACTTATTAAAACAAAGATGAACTCCAGTACCCTGGTAATCTTGATGCCTAGAATACAAGTGTGATGTTTTTCTTCTTTTTAATAACTCAAAGATAACATCCCCAATGCTCAACATGTGGAGTCAGTATGATGGTCCATTCCTGTGATGTCGCCGAGATTCACAGTGTTTGAACAACAGACATTTTGTCATCAGAATACTACAGTATGTTATTACTGCAAGGCTCCTGTGATTTGTTCAAACTGAAACTAAAACGGACCCTTGAACTGTTATTGCAGTCTGGAACTGATAACCATCTGTTAGTGTTTGACTCTCCTACAGGACAGTGATGAGGTATGTGGATGTGACTTTTTGACCCTGTAGTAAAAGTTAGGCCCCGTACACACTCAGGTTGTACAACTGATTCACCACACATTGGACACATGATACAGTAGGCTACTACTGTAGTTCATCTACACAAAAATATTTCACACAACCATTTTTGCAATGTCTCCACAACACTGTTTGTGTAGAAACACTCTGTTGTATCATAACAGTTTTACCAAATGCGTTGTGCATTAGTTCTATAACTTCAGTGTGAACAGGGCCTTAAAGAGAACATTCCCCATTGCACAAGCTGTGCGCTTCGGTAGCCTGAAGAAACTGAAAGATGATGTGGATAAGTTACTGAGCTATTACACGTATGAACAGGAGCATTATTCTCTGGTAAACTGATGACAACACTTATCAAACCGGAATATACTTCCTAGTAAATTGGCATGTAGTCTGCTTTTCATTGAGTTCTGCCTGCTTCTAGTAAAGTTACAGTATTTTCTCATGAAATAAAACACAAGTGAAGAGCAGGAATGCAAGAGTGGAAGAGGAACGTTTCCCAAGAAGGGGTTAAGATAGAGACTCCTCCTACTACTATGTAATGAACTCTTAGCTAATGCATTTCAGACATACTAGTATCTCATTCTTAACATATCTCCAAGTCATAAGGACCCAGAGGAAGAAGCAGTGCGAACCTGGTAATGAAGGTCTTGCAGTGTTGCGATGAGAAAAATATACAGCATGCTTAGGATAGTCTTGAATGACCAACATTTTTGACTGAAATGATTTCCTGTCTTGTCAAAAGCAATGCTACGCTGTTCTGATCAACTCTTTTCCCAGGGAAAGTGAACCTTTCAAAGATTGTGTTTGCATTATTGAGTGTCTTGCCAACTTTCATGTGTGTGTGAAATGTATTTAGAATGCTCTTCAGAAGCTGTTGTATTGATTGAGTGTTCATGTGTTCATCCTAGTTTTGTTTCTTTGATGTCTTTGTCATCTGCTGTAGTCCGAAACACGATCCACAACCATCATGATTTCCAACGCCGTAAAATCCATGCTGAAGGAAGTAGATTATAACGGTAGCCTGATCCCTGTGTCCAGTCTGAACGACAGCTCCGGTAAACTGAATCTCCTCTCACTCATTGTGAAGACCAGGCCCAGATTGGGATGCTTCTGGCAGGAACCGAAATACCAGTCCAGAGGCTTTACCCTGAGTGATGTGCTGAAGCCTGGAAAGCTTGAAGAACCTAAAGACAAACCTTTTAACCCAGGTAAACACTGCAGCCCCTCCAGCAGGGTTGCCAGGTCTAGCTAAAATGTACCTAAATAAATCTGTTTTGCGTTTGTGCATAACTATAGATAAATCTGCCAGGAGAGTTTGAGTGATGAAAGTTGAATCGAGGATCTCAAACACTTGGACTAACTTTTAAAAAATGAATGTTAGACTATTTTCTGGCAATTGTGCCATTATTTTGTGCCAGATGTTAAGACTACAAACAGTTATAAATGGCCCATTTGCGAGATTGACTTTCATTAGGTATAGGCATAGGCTACAGACTAAAATATGGATTTATGATTGTGATTCAACTTTGCCATGGTTTGCTTGATAGATGCAGGTAGCCTATAGCCCCTGATAGGCCTACATCTTATTTCAGATAGTCTACAGTAGCGTAGGCAAGATGTAGACAAGATGTAAACTGAACGATTTAGGAGTTTGTGTTACGCTATGGTTAAACCCAGCACTCAGAGAAACAAAACATGACTAAGGGAGTGGAAGAAACAAAAATTATTTTAATAAAAGTTCAATTTGTCTTAGTCCAAAAACAACTGAAGAAAAGGAACAGAGTGGGCTAGTCGGCTCCGGAGGAAGGAGAGGCTGAGGCAGGCAGGCAGGCAGGCAGGCAGGTTGGGGGGTATGTCTGAATGCTCTAGTAAGAACAACGATCTGGCGCCGGTGGAGAGCCATGCCCAGGAATTAGTAGTGCAGGTTGATGAGAGAATAGGATGCAGCTGCGTAGGCAGGAATCACTGGAAACAACCCGCAGCTGCACAGGAGAGGCAGATCCTGAGCACGCCCCCCGATCCACTCCAGACACACACCGGCAGACGCACCAACATAATGGGGACAAACACACATACAGATACAACAGACAAAGAGGGGACAAAACCAGGAGGAAGGGAAACAGAAAAGGGAGAGACAAGCTGCCCACATAACAGTACCCCCCCCCCTCAATGGTCGCCACCTGGCGACCCACCAGGCCTGTCAGGGTTGTCGTGATGGAAGTCCGTGATCAGCTGAGGATCCAACACAAAACGCTTAGGGACCCAAGACCTCTCCTCTGGTCCATAACCTTCCCAATCGACTAGGTATTGGAGACCCCTACCCCGCCTCCGAGAGTCCAGGAGCCTACTGACGGTGTAGGCCGGATGGTCGTCAATGAGGCGAACAGGTGGAGGTGGATCTACCGGCGGACACAAAAGGCTGGAGGACACAGGTTTCAGTTGGGAGACGTGGAAAGTAGGGTGTATCTTCATGGCTGAAGGCAACTTCAAACGAACCGCAGCGGGGTTAACGATGGACTCCACCACAAACGGACCCAGGTACCGAGGAGACAGCTTGCGTGATTTGGTACGAAGAGGTACGTTCTTTGATGACAGCCAAACTTCTTGACCAGGATGAAACACAGGTGCGGGAGTCCTGCTCCTATCCGCTGTCGTCTTGTTCCTGTCGGTGGTCCGAAGCAACGCTTCCGAGCGTCGCTCTACACTCTCTGGCAGCGGCGGAGGTTCTCCTGAACCGAAGGAACAGCCAATTCCTTCTCCTGAGCAGGAAACAGAGGGGGTTGATAACCCATGGTTACCTCGAAGGGTGAAAGGCCGATGGCAGAGGTGGTGAGGGAGTTGTGGGCGTACTCTATCCAAGGCAGATGTTTGGCCCAGGATGATGGATGTTGAGCAGCCACACAACGAAGGGTTGCTTCGAGGTCTTGATTGGCTCTTTCTGTTTGACCGTTGGTCTGGGGATGAAACCCTGAGGACAGACTAACGGAAGCACCCAAAGCAGAACAGAAAACCTTCCAAACACGGGAAGTAAACTGTGGGCCTCTATCAGATACGATGTCCACAGGTATTCCATGGGGACGGAATACATGTTGAACTAGGAGGTCCGCTGTCTCACTGGCAGACGGTAATTTTGGTAATGCTATATAGTGAACAGATTTAGAGAATCTGTCCACAATGGTAAGTATAGTATCATTACCTTCAGACTTGGGTAGGCCGGTGACAAAATCCATGGCTATGTGGGACCAGGGACGGCTGGGAACTGGGAGGGGTAACAGCAGCCCCGAAGGGGACTGGTGGGAGGCTTTGCCCCGAGCACAGGTTGAACAGGCTGCCACAAAAGCCCGAACGTCAGTTTCCATTGAAGGCCACCAAAAATGTCTCTTAAGCAGCGTCAACGTGCGTCTCATCCCAGGGTGACCAGCAAAACGGGAGGTGTGAATCCACTGCAACACCTGAGACCGGACCGTCTCGGGAACAAAGAGTAGGTTGGGAGGTCCATCACCCGGTCCCGGGTCCGTGGCAAGTGCAGTCTTCACAAGAGACTCGATCTCCCACTGTACTGCCGCCACGACGCATGAGGAAGGTAGGATTGCCTCAGGCTCGCTGGTCTCCGAAGGGTCAGCAAACTGGCGGGACAAAGCATCTGGTTTAACATTTCTTGACCCCGGTCTGTATGTTAGAATAAAGTTAAACCTACTAAAAAACAGGGCCCATCTGGCTTGGCGTGAGTTGAGTCTCTTAGTGGCTTGGATGTAAGCCAAGTTTTTGTGGTCTGTCCAGACCACAAACGGCAGTTCAGCTCCATCCAGCCAGTGCCGCCATTCTTCCAGTGCTAGCTTGACCGCCAGCAGTTCCCGGTTTCCAACGTCGTAATTCCGTTCTGTGGGTGACAATTTCTTGGAGAAAAAAGCACAGGGGTGAAGCTTTTGGTCAGTGGGGGAGCGCTGGGAGAGGACTGCTCCCACACCTGAGTCAGACGCGTCCACCTCCACAATAAACTGCAGAGAGGTATTGGGGTGTATCAACACGGGGGAGGTGGAAAACAGTTCCTTCAAAACCCCTACCGCCTGCTCCGCCTCAGGGGACCACAGAAAAGGGACTTTTGGGGATGTGAGTCTAGTAAGGGGTGCCACCACTTTACTAAAACCCTTAATGAATCTACGGTAGAAGTTAGCAAAGCCCAAAAATCGTTGAAGTTGCTTACGGGTGGTGGGTGTGGGCCATTCCGTCACTGCCCGGATCTTCTCGGGGTCCGCCTTCACCTGCCCGCTCTCAATGATGAAACCAAGGAACGATGTAGACTGTTTGTGGAACTCACACTTTTCTGCTTTGACGTACAGCTTATTCTCCAAGAGCCGTTGAAGGACTTGACGGACGTGTGACTCATGCTCCTCGGGTGACTTGGAAAAAACAAGAATATCATCCAGGTATACAAAGACAAAATGGTTCAAAAAATCCCATAATTCACCATGGCTTGGAATACAGCAGGGGCGTTTGAGAGCCCAAAGGGCATGACCAAATACTCAAAATGCCCCAGTGGAGTGTTGAAAGCGGTTTTCCACTCATCTCCATTTTCGGATTCTGACAAGGTGATAAGCGTTCCTGAGGTCGAGCTTGGAGAAAACTGTGGCGCCATGCAGAGGTTCAAAAGCTGAGTTGATGAGTGGAAGGGGATACTTGTTTTTAACAGTTATGTTGTTTAAACCCCTGAAATCGATACAGGGGCGTAACGACTTGTCTTTCTTTTCAACAAAAAAGAAACCTGCACCCAAAGGAGACGACGAGGGACGGATTATGCCCGATGCCAGAGAATCACCAATATACTGCTCCATTGCCTCTCTTTCCGGTCGGGACAGATTGTATAAGCGACTAGAGGGCAAGGGAGCACCAGGAAGCAGTTCAATAGGGCAATCATAAGGCCTATGTGGTGGTAGAGACAGAGCCTTGTCCTTACTGAAAACCTCAGCTAAGTCATGGTATTCTTTGGGGACAGATGACAGATCGGGAGGAGCTGAGGGATGAGTAGGGTTACACTTAGTGGGGGGAACCGCTGACCTAAGGCACTCTGAATGGCAGTTAGTGCTCCAACTGAGAATGGTGTGACGTGTCCAATCAATTTGTGGGTTGTGAAGAGCCAACCAGGGGAAGCCAAGGATTAGGGGGGTAGCTGAGCCAGATATAACTCTTAACTGAATGCTTTCACAATGATTGCCAGAAATCACTAGGGAAACGGGGGTGGTTTGATGAGTTATCTCCGCGAGGAGGCTGTGACTCGAATGGGGGTAGGTAGTGGCTCCACGGGGATACGAGCTTGTGTAACGAACTGGTGGCTAATAAAGTTGTCTTCTGCACCTGAGTCTATGAAAGCTGAGAGTGGCAGGGAATGACTCTGGAAACGTAAGGATACAGGTACTTGTAATCGGGGAATGATGGGTTCAGGATCTAACTCTGAGCTCGCAAGTAGACCCACCGTTACGAGCGAGCCTTGTCTTTTGGTCGCTTAGGGCATGTAGCCAGAATGTGTGTGGCGTCTCCACAGTACAGGCACTCACCCGCCTGGAGGCGCCGTTGCCGCTCTGCCGTTTTTGTTTTGTCATTATGGGGTATTGTGTGTAGATTGATGAGGGAAAAAAACGATTTAATCCATTTTAGAATAAGGCTATAACGTAACAAAATTTGGAAAAAGTCAATGGGTCTGAATATTTGTATGTCGCTCTGGATAAGAGTGTCTGCTAAATTATGTAAATGTAAATGAATACTTTCCGAATGTACTGTAGATGAAGTTATTTTATTTTTTTAATACAGATTGACCAATGGTTTTTATATAAATAGTGAAGGGAATGGGTCCCAAAATCGACCCCTGTGGTGCACCTTTATGTATTTCAAGAAATTCAGACTTAATATACAGTGTGGTCCGAATTGATTGATACCCTTGATAAAGATTAGCAATAATGACTGTATAAAATAAATAATTCAAATACTGAGCTATATTGTAACCAAAAAAAAAGGGGGAAATTATATAATTTTATACTAATACAATTGCTCAGAGATTTTGTTTAACAAGTAATTTGAAAAAATCTTTAAAAAGTAGGGGTCAAAATTATTGACACCCCTAAAGATTCTTATAAATAAAGTAGTCAAAAGTTTAGTATTTGGTCCCATATTCCTAGTACGCAATGGCTACATCAAGCTTGTGACTCTAAAAACTTGTTAGATGCATTTGCAGTTCGTTTTGGTTGTGTTTCAGATTATTTTGTGTCCAATAGAAATGAATGGTAAATAATGTGTTGTGTCATTTTCGAGGCACTTTTATTATAAATAAGAATAGAATATGTTTCTAAACACGTATACATTAATGTGGATGATACCATGATTATGGATAATCCTGAATGCATTGTGAATAATGATGAGTGAGAAATTTACAGAGGGTCAAAAATCATACCCCCAAGACATGCTAACCTCTCAAGTCTGTTCTCGAGACTACATATTGAGTGTACATTTGTACTCGGTCTTGATTCGGTCTCGGACAGTGAGGACTCATAATTTCTTCCCGAGACCAACGGTGTAAAGAGCTCATAATTATATATACACTCTTTCTTGAAACATTCATATCTTAACAGCCTTTATATCTATTATAGACATGTTTTTGCAGTGGCGAACATATAGGCCTTCAGTGTGTGACAGGTTCGTGATTCTGAAAGAACATCAACCGTAATGCAAGCGCACTGATGTAGGAGAGTGCACTTTTTGTAAAACACAAAGGTCTAGTAGCGTAGTGGAGGGTATACGACTTATCAATGATGTAGTACAATAGAGAAATCATGCACAAAGTAGCCTACACAATCACAAAGCACGTGAAATGTATTCACATGCGCGCGCCCCACACAGGCTAGTTACAACTGAATATAATCTGCGGCTCTCAACTGGTGCATGGAGCAGCTTAAAGAAGAATGACATCGGTAGCCGGTAGGATAGGAAAGACGTTCCAACTGATGATATCTACCAGAAAATGCTAACTAAGGCAACAGTGGGTATGCAAACCAGTTATTCTTGAAAAAGGAGAAGCTAACAAATTAGCAACAACATCCTCTTTGATAACACCTGCTGCAGCCTCTGCAAACTAACTGACAACAAAAACTAGCTAGCTAGACCGTGGGAAAACTACTGCTCGCTATTGCGCAGTGACCTGTTGGCCTTCAAGAAGGCAGAAGTTTCCATACATTTTTGTAAAAACAGTCCCACTCATTAAGTCAAAATGTGATTAGTTGATTCCACTGTCACTCCAAAATGTTGCCCTAATACAGTTGAATGGCAGATGCCTTTATCTAGCTTCTGATGGCCTAGCCAATGGCTGACTTAGCTAGCTAGATTTATCTCCCCAGAGAGAGCAAAGAAAAATCCTGATTGGATCTATATGTCTATATGGAAACAGAGTCTATATGGAAACAGAGTCTATATGGAAACAGAGTCTATATGGAAACAGAGTCTATATAGAAACAGAGTCTAGATGGAAACAGAGTCTAGATGGAAACAGAGTCTAGATGGGAACAGAGTCTATATGGAAACAGAGTCTATATGGAAACTAATTTAATGAACCCCCTACAGAGTTCCTATATGGAACTAATTTAAATGGAAACTAGTCTCTATGGAAACTACTCTATATGGAAACAGAGTCTATATGGAAACTAGTCTATATGGAAACAGAGTCTATATGGAAACAGAGTTTATATGGAAACTTGTCTATTTGGAAACACAGTCTATATGGAATCTAGTTTTTTGCATGGGTGGAGTTGGCTGGCACAGACTGGGTTGTGGGTGAAGCAGGGCCAGGTGCTCGTGGCGCAGACTTGGCACTGGGAGGAAGCAGGTTGGACTGTAGTGGGAGCAGCCTGGATGGGCTGGCAGCAGGTTGACTGTAGTGGGGAGCAGCCTGGATGGGGCTGGCAGCAGGTTGGACTGTAGTGGGAGCAGCCTGGATGGGGCTGGCAGCAGGTTGGACTGTAGTGGGAGAAGCCTGGATGGGGCTGGCAGCAGGTTGGACTGTAGTGGGAGCAGCCTGGATGGGGCTGGCAGCAGGTTGGACTGTAGTGGGAGCAGCCTGGATGGGGCTAGCAGCAGGTTGGACTGTAGTGGGAGCAGCCTGGATGGTGTGGGGGATTTATTATTCTCATAATTGATGGGATGACTAACTTAGAAAGAATGCATTCTAGACTGTGCTAATGTAGGTTGTGTCACCTGGCAAGCTGTGATTGATGTGAAGAGCTGTTTTAGGGGGTAAGATAAGATAATAATTTGTGTCTCCAAATACTAGACTATACTGGTCCTTTGTGATCTGTGAACCATCCTTGGATGTAGGAATGGTGTCTAGGGGAGCTGGCTCTTCTCACCTTGATAGGTTGTTATGATAAACGTATGCCTGGCAACAGGGATGCGCCAAGGGACTGGGACTAGCCCGTGCGCCAACGGATTGGCTGAGTAAGTCTAAACCACGCTCAGCCTCTACTCTGATAGGCCCAGCAGAGAGCGGGAACTGAGAACTGTCAGAGTATTTGAAGAACAATCTAAAACAATGGATTAGTTCTCTGTCTGCCCTGCGAGGTATTTCAGGGAGCCCGTATACGAACCACCATACTTATCATACATACATTTTGCATATAATAAATTTAGCTTGGATTGAAGATCTCTTGATTCTTATTCCAATACCAGATTTGAATTACGCAATTTCTAACAATGGGGCTGGCAGCAGGTTGGACTATAGTGGGAGCAGCCTGGATGGGGCTGGCAGCAGGTTGGACTGTAGTGGAAGCAGCCTGGATGGGGCTGGCAGCAGAGAAGTCAGCAGGGGTGGTGGTGAAGTCATCCAGAAGATTACCAACTGTGGGGTCCATTGCAGAGTCCTCAAAATCAGTCTCCTCCAAGTCAGTGTCCATGTCCTGTATGGCCTTCCCAGTCTGCCTGAGCAGGTAGTCCACACACCAATCAGCTCTCCTGAAAATGAAAAAGACAGCAGAATGCAAAACAAGACAATAATAGATGAATATGATTACTCACAATATCGTCATCAAATCAAAACACTGACACATACACTACATGACCAAAAGTATGTGGACACCTGCTCGTCTAACATCTCATTCCAAAATCATGGCCATTAATATGGAGTTGGTCCCCCCTTTGCTGCTATAACAGCCTCCACTCTTCTGGAAAGGCTTTCCACTAGATGTTGGAACATTGCTGTGTGGACTTGCTTCCATTCAGCCACAAGAGCATTAGTGAGGTCGGGCACTGATGTTGGGCGATTAGGCCTGGTTCGCAGTCGGCGTTCCAATTCATTCCAAAGGTGTTTGATGGGGTTGAGGTCAGGGCTCTGTGCAGGCCAGTCAAGTTCTTCCACACCCATCTCGATAAACCATTTCTGTATGGACCTCGCTTTGTGTACGGGGGCATTGTCATGCTGAAACAGGAAAGGGCCTTCCCCAAACTGTTGCCACAAAGTTGGAAGCACAGAATTGTCTAGAATGTCATTGTATGCTCTATCGTTAATATTTCCCTTCCCAAAACAGCACCAGACCATTATTCCTCCTCCACCAAACTTAATAGTTGGCACTATGCATTGGGGCAGGTAGCTTTCTCCTGGCATCCGCCAAACACAGATTAGTCCGTCGGACTGCCAGATGGTGAAGCGTGATTCATCACCCCATAGAACACGTTACCACTGCTCCAGAGTCCAATGGCGGTGAGCTTTACACCACTCCAGCCAACGCTTGGCATTGCGCATGGTGATCTAAGGTTTGTGTGCGGCTACTCGGCCATGGAAACCCATTTCATGAAGCTCCCGACGAACAGTTCTTGTGCTGACGTTGCTTCCAGAGGCAGTATGGAATTCAGTAGAGCACTTACAGAGGCTGTAGCAGAGGAGAGCACTTACAGAGGCTGTAGCAGAGGAGAGCACTTACAGAGGCTATAACAGAGGAGAGCACTTACAGAGGCTATAACAGAGGAGAGCACTTACAGAGGCTGTAGCAGAGGAGAGCACTTACAGAGGCTGTAGCAGAGGAGAGCACTTACAGAGGCTGTAGCAGAGGAGAGCACTTACAGAGGCTGTAGCAGAGGAGAGCACTTACAGAGGCTATAACAGAGCTGGAGGTGCCCTGAGAGACAGCAGAGGCAGTGGTGGTCTTCACAGAGAATGTAGCAGAGGGGGTCTGGGAGAAGGACCAGGTGGGCTTCACAGAGGCTGTAGCAGAGGGGGTCTGGGAGAAGGACCAGGTGGGCTTCATAGAGGCTGTAGCAGGGCTGGAGAGGGGCCGGGAGAAAGGGGAAATGGTAAAATAGTATTATATAATAATATGAAAATTATTTGTGGGTAAACAGTATTAAAAACAAATATATTTAAACAAGCTCTTCACAGGTTAAGCTATATAATATTTACCCGAACAGGCTTCCTAGGCACATCATCCTGAAATGAAAAATAAACATTTTTATATGAATACCGACAATATGGTCATGTGATATTTAAAACATGACACACAATGTAGTAGGTAAAATGCCATTTACATACAGCGGTGCAGGGATTGGGGCACTCGCAGACACTGTGTAGGGGTGGGGGCACTCACAGAGGCCAGAGGAAGGGTTGAGGCACTCACAGAGGCCAGAGGAAGGGTTGGGGCACTCACAGAGGCCAGAGGAAGGTTTGAGGCACTCACAGAGGCCAGAGGAAGGCTTGAGGCACTCACAGAGGCCAGAGGAAGGGTTGAGGCACTCACAGAGGCCAGAGGAAGGGTTGAGGCACTCACAGAGGCCAGAGGAAGGGTTGATGCACTCACAGAGGCCAGAGGAAGGGTTGGGGCACTCACAGAGGCCAGAGGAAGGGTTGAGGCACTCACCGAGGCCAGAGGAAGGGTTGAGGCACTCACAGAGGCCAGAGGAAGGGTTGGGGCACTCACAGAGGCCAGAGGAAGGGTTGGGGCACTCACAGAGGCCAGATGAAGGGTTGGGGCACTCACAGAGGCCAGAGGAAGGGTTGAGGCACTCACAGAGGCCAGAGGAAGGGTTGGGGCACTCACAGAGGCCAGAGGAAGGGTTGAGGCACTCACAGAGGCTGTAGACAACTTGGCCGGGCTACGGACATGTTGTGTCTGTAAAATATATGTAGTTGAATTAAGATTATTGAAGGTCATACTGTTATAAAAACAGATCAATACAAATCACGCTTTTGACAGGTTAGCTTGTATTTTATTTACCTGAGCAGGCTTCCTTGCCAAGTTAAAGTTTGGTCTTGCTGCAGACATGAGCCCCCAAAACCTTTGCTTATTGAACTGCAAAAGAGAGAGAAAAACCTAATAGTCACAATGAACGGAGGAGGAAACCAAGTCACCTGTCAAAAGGATTATCTGAATCAGTGTTCTCTCATGGCAGCAGAGCCATAGTAGTTGAGGAAAAATAATGTAACAAAAAATGTCATATTTACCATTGACAACAAGTTCAATGCAGTCCTCAATGCAGGAGTCTGAACAGCAGACCCAGACGCTGGTGGAGCTGTAGGTGCTGGCCCAGCAGGTCCACTGGTAGAGACCGGCTTAAAATATAGGGGGGGGGGGGGGGGGAATACAGAGACAACACTAGAGTATGGTATCTAATTTCAGTAAATCAGAAAAGAGAAAACATGTTGTTTTAGCTTATAAGCTTTATTAGTGTTACCTCCTGGGGGTGAAATCCATAGACACCTGTCAAAGTCGCGTCAATTCAAATCTGGTATTAGGAACAAAAGAGGTCAACACGACTTCTAAGATATACTAGTTATTTTAATTAATGCAAAAACCTTCAATGGTAAATATGATGTTTCGTATATACGGGCTCTCTGAAATACTTCGCAGGGCACCCCAGAGAACTAACCCATTGTTCTGGGTTCTTGCTCAAATACTCTGACAGAGGGAGTTTCCCACCTCTCTGCTGACCAATTAGAGTAGAGACTTGAGCGTGGTTTAAACTTACTCAGCCAATCCGTTGATGCATCTCTGTTACCAGGCATATGTCCATATCATAACAACCTGTCATAGTGAGAAGAGCCAGCTCCCTTAGACACCATTCCTACGTCCAAGGAAGGTTCACAGATCACAAAGAACCAGTATATTCCAGCATCTGGAGACACAATCCCTATCTCACTTTACCCCCTAAAACAGCTCTTCACATCAATCACAGCTTGCCAGGTGTCACAACCTACATTAGCCCAGTCAAGAATGCATTCTTTCTAAGTTAGTCAAGGGGTGATGAAACTCTAGCTCTTTCTGGAACTTTCCATAACCTTTTGTGATTGGTTGACAAGATCATAGCTTGAGACTTTGACACTGTGTATAGTCTCTATGTTACCATATGACAATTTGATGTCTGAATAAGAGAGATGTGGGGGGCTGCCTTAATCAACATCATCGGTACCCGGGGAGCAATTTTTGCCTTGCTCAAGACCAGAACGACAGACTTTTCACCTTGGGGATTTGAACCAGCAACCTTTCGGTTACTGGCCCAACACTCTTAACTGCTATGCTACCAGCCACCCCACATAGGTATATAGGTAATGTGAGCTATGGCTAAACATGTTTATAACAAAGTTAATCCCCTGGATATCAAAGCATTATCTAATTTAGCTGTCATAATAATATAGCTAGCTAGCTACAAAAGCCAGAAGAAGATCAGGTGACTAACTCTGACAGCTCCTCCCATTGAAAGTGAATGCTACTGTAACATCACCAAATTATATGCTTTTTTTCCAGGAGGTTGGCTGAGTCAACCAATAGCGTCGCTATTGGCTGTGTCCTTCTTCCAAAGAATGAGAAGCTATACATGATTGGCTTTTGAAACATGGACATGGAGATGGTGGGTGCTTGGACATAGTTGACAGACTAACGTGAATAAAATAGCGCCAAAGCGCCATGCTCATCCAACTGAGCTACAGAGGACCAAGTCAATGTTTTTCCACTTGGAACCGACAGGTTGCTCAACCTTATTCATGGTTTCTTTGTGTGTGAAGGTGGTGGAATTATGAGGGAATTAAGTCAAGGTCAGAATACAGCGTATCTGTAGACACACATCCATTTCTGTGATCTCCACCCCAAATGAATACCTGGCTGACACATGCGTTTCCCCATGCTTAAGTTCAAGGTCAGAATACGTGTAGAGAGAAAAGTGCATTGAAGTGAAATAAGTTATTCCCCCCTTTATGAAAAGATTATGAAAATGATTGTTATAGATATGTGTTGTGGTATAATAGCATCGAGGAGTCCATACTAATGTTGAACTTTCCCTCAGCTGTCAAGGAGTGTGACTTTGTGGACCACAGTGGGGCATCTGGTGACACTGAAGAAATAAACGCAGAAGGAAATGTGGAGGGATTGTTGGCTGATTTCAAACTTAACGTGGGCTTAAAATGCTCCAACGAACAAGAGTCGTCCTTTGGCAGACTGAAGAAAGAGGAGGTGGAAGTGAAGGAGTTGGTTAACTACTCGAAAGACATGTGAGTTGCCCTATACTGTAATACACTGAGTGGACAAAACATTAAGAACACGTGCTCTTTCCATGACATAGACTAACCAGGTGAATCCAGGTGAAAGCTATGATTCTTTATTGATGTCACTTGTTAAATCCACTTAAATCAGTGTAAATGAAGGGGAGAAAAACAGGTTAAAGAGGGATTTTTAAGCCTTGAGACAACTGAGACATGGATTGTGTATGTGTGCCATTCAGCGGATGAATGGGCAAGACAAGAAATGTAAGTGCCTTTGAACGGGGTATGGTAGTGTCAGGCGCACCAGTTTCTGTCAAGAACTGCAACACTGCTGGGTTTTTCAAGCTCAACAGTTTCCCGTGTGTATCAAGAATGGTCCACCAACCAAAGGACTTCCAGCCAATTTAACACAACTGTGGGAAGCATTTGAGTCAACATGGGCCAGCATCCCTGTGGAACGCTTTCGACACCATGTAGAGTCCATGCCCCGATGAATTGAGGCTGTTCTGAGGGCAAAAGGGGAGGTGCAGCTCAATATTAGTAAGGTTGAAATGTTTTGTACATTCAGCCTGGCCTCAATGACGTAACATAGTAAACGTATATCTGTGACACTCAAATTAGTATGATATGTACGGTTACTTAAGCAAGAGGGAGGGAGATTGGGTGGCGTATAACGCGAATGTCTAGCAACCCAACGGTTGCGTGTTCAAATCACATCACAGACAACTTTAACATTTTTGCAACTGCTTACTACTTTACAACTACTTAGCATATTAGCTAACCCTTCTCCTAACCTTAACCCTAACTCCTAACCATTTAGCAGACGCTCTTATCCAGAGCGACTTACAGTTAGTGCATACATTATTTTATATTTATCATACTGGCCCCCCGTGGGAATCGAACCCACAACCCCTGGCGTTACAAACGCCATGCTCTACCAACTGAGCTACATCCCTGCCGGCCATTCCCTCCCCTACCCTGGACAACGCTGGGCCAATTGTGCGCCGCCCCATGGGTCTCCCGGTCGCGGCTGGCTACGACAGAGCCTGGATTCGAACCAGGATCTCTAGTGGCACAGACCACTGCGCCACTCGGGAGTCCTAACCCTAACCTTAACCTCTAACCCTAACCTTAACCCGTAGCGACTAGCTAACATTGCCCATCTAGCTAACGTTAGCCACAACAAAGTGAAATTCCTAACATATCATACGTATTGCAAATTCATAACATACTGTACGAATTGCAATTAGTAACATGTTATACGAATTGTAATTCGTAACATATCATACGAAACGTTGTCATTTAAATTGACAACAAGTTCAATGCAGTCCTCAATGCAGGAGTCTGAACAGCAGACCCAGACGCTGGTGGAGCTGTAGGTGCTGGCCCAGCAGGTCCACTGGTAGAGACCGGCTTAAAATATAGGGGGGGGGAAATACAGACAACACTAGAGTATGGTATCTAATTTCAGTAAATCAGAAAAGAGAAAACATGTTGTTTTAGCTTATAAGCTTTATTAGTGTTACCTCCTGGGGGTGAAATCCATAGACACCTCTCTGAAGGACCTCCCTGAAACCAGTACAGTTCCACAAACACCAATGACACTTTTTATTTAGACACACCAAATGATCAATGAAATCCTAAAATGTTTGACATACTTAAAGGGTGTGATTAGCTAGTAATTCTCTCTGTCTCTCCACTTGAGAGAATGCTGAGTGTCCTTTTATATTTATTTAATTATGGATTTACAAGGGGGTAACACTAATGACATAAAACTTAAGGACACATATTATATTTGTAAAAAAATAATAATTTAATAGCCTTCTTTGTTTTTATTGATCTATACAATATATGAAATACTTTTATTTACTTTCTATCATTCAAAATAATAGATAGATATCTCTAAATCCCCAAAACATGTCACTACAACTCTACTCATCACTACTGGGACAAGCCCATTTGCTTTCCCTAAGTACTTTAAAGAATGCATAAAAATAACGTTTTGCAGTATAAAGGACTTACATTATGTTTTCACATTGATAAACAGTTCAATATCAACTAAAACATGTATAATGTCTAACTATTTGTAATTTTAGGGTTGTATTCAATCCGCATCACAGAAATGCAGCTTCACAGCGTGATTGAAATGTAAAGACAATGTTTTATTTTACCCTAATTTACCAGGACTTGGCAGAAACTGCATTCACGCTAAACGCTGGATATGTCGACTCAAACGGAAATTACCTTTCAATTTATTTAGCGGAATCCGTAACGCTTCAGTGTTACAGATTGAAGAGAGCCCTTAAAGTGTTTTTCATGGTTGCAAAGGCAAGGGACGCAAAAGCCAATGCAGTTCAAGAATGACCCTCTAGAAAGAAGCCTAACTATAACATAAACATAACATGCCACTTAGCAGACGCTTTTATCCAAAGCGACTTACAGTCATGCGTGCATAAATTTTTGTGTATGGGTGGTCCCGGGGATCGAACCAACTACCTTGGCGTTACAAGCGCCGTGCACTACCAGCTGAGCTACAGAGGACCACTAACACCTTTAAATAATATTTGCTCGCCCACTCTATATTTTGTATAATTTATCTGGGTCCCTCCTGCAGACGTCTGGGACATGACCCACCCTGTGATCAAGCAGACCCGGGAGAAGCCCAGGGCAATATTAGGGGTGTTGATGGAGAGGATTATGACATCACAACCTTGCCCGGTCACAACCAAAGTCCGGAAGCGCGGCAATGTAGGAGCCAACGTGAGCACCTGTGTGGCCCTGAGAGGGAAGGTAGGAGGAAAGATTAACAAGCGTTCTACTGAAGTGAATGATGTTTTCATCATATTTTCATGAGTGGAAAAACATAATAATGTATAACTGACAACTCAGATTTAGATGATCTCTGTTGTAAAATAGATTTTTAATCTCAATAATCTCACTTTATGATAGCTAGGCCTACATAAATAATGTAAATGTCAAGACCATATTGACAGATCACAGATGTCTGTTCAGTAGTGGTAATACTCACAGATGTCTGTTCAGTAGTGGTAATACTCACAGATGTCTGTTCAGTAGTGGTAAATGCTGTAGCCCTGGTTTCCCACATAGATCATTTCCTGTTTTTGTCATTAGATCCACTTCCTGAAAATGAAATGGTGTAGTAGAGGTGACTGTCTGGGTTAGAATCTGGGTCGTCTGTGCACCAAACGTCTCTGACTGATTTGACATTTTCTCCACAGGCCTCTATGAAGCAGAGCGGCAGTACTCAGAGAGATAGTGATGTGTCACTGGTTATTCCTGTAAATACTGTCGTGGCCTACAGTCTGATTGAACTCTTTGTCAAATGCAATGGACAGTTTGGTGAGGAAGTGTATGGTTAATCAAGTGCAATGTCCCAGGTATAGCTGCATGGTTAAGTACCATGGTAAAGTACACAGCTAGCTTATGTTCCTCAGTGTGTATGTGGTACAGCCACTGTATCTGTCTGTGTGTGACTGGTTATGGCTGTTGTCTGCTCTTGTCCACAGAGCTGTGCCTCTTCTCCAGCAATGGGGGCTTTGAAAAGGTTAGGTCAAATTATGAGTTTGAAGAGGATGGAATTATGGACCTGGTATGTGACTTTGATGCCAACAGCCCCCTAAATCTGAAGAAAGGTAATAATGCCAGTGGAGGCTAATGTCTCCTGTCTAGTGGTCAACATGTAGTCTACTGAATGGAACGTCTGGTCAACATGTAATGTAGTCTACTGAATGGAACGTCTGGTCAACATGTAATGTAGTCTACTGAATGGATCATCTGGTCAACATGTAATGTAGTCTACTGAATGGAACGTCTGGTCAACATGTAATGTAGTCTACTGAATGGAACGTCTGCTCAATATACCACACTTTTGATATATAAAAAAACATTGATCACACTTTGACAAAGTAACATGGTTTATCTGTTGTTTGTGTGTTGACAGAACTGGAGAAAACTGAGTGGTCATTTCCAGCTGCTGTCAGCCCTGCCAGCGGCCACACGCTCCTCTCTGCTCCAGCTCCTCAAGACAACCATGGAGGATGGAGAGGCAGTCAGTGTGCTGGAGAGTGTGGTGAGTGGGACGTACAGAAACACGGGCCAAACACACACACACACACACAACTAATGGCAGGAATGAATATATCAACCAGAATATCTGTAACATACTCTCGGTCTTAAATGTACTCTCTTTCTCTCTCACTCTTCTCCCCTCTCTCCTCTCTCTCTCTCTCCCCTCTCTCTGTCTCTCTGTCTCTCTCTCTGGTCACAGCTGGATCAGAAGTGTGATGGTGAGACTCCTGACCTGGGTGATCTGGAAGAGTCTGAGAGGGAGACAGTCCAGGCCATACTGGATGTTGTAGACCAATGTGTTGGGGAGGATGAGATCAGATCCTCACTTCTCACTGCCATCCACCTCATTGTCAGTGCCATGGACGGTGGGATAGAGAGCAATTTTCACAGGATTCTGTGTTATTATTTGATCAGTTACTGGGAAACTAGGTTCACTACTGTGGTTTTATATGTGTGCATATTTATTTCTTCAGGAATGACAGATGACGGTCTCTCTGGGTTGGGATCCTGTTGCAGTCCTCCAGTCTTACAGGCCCTGCAGATCCTGGTGAGTTCACACCTGCTTGATTGAGCCTCCAATCCTGTATGGACTGGACTTCATTTTTCTAAATTTTTGTTTATGTAAATGTTTTTGGGTATATCTTCCCATTCTAAATAAACTAATATTTCTACCATTATGATAACATTGTGCCACCAGTAGAGGTAGTAACACCGATGATGGTAACCAGTGCCATTTTTAACAAAAATATTGGTGGGGCAAACTCAATGAAAAAAGTGAATATGAATCGATACATTACTACACTACACTAACCATAGAATGCACAATCATACATAATTACCAATCCCAGAAATGAGTTTAGAGCCACTGTTATGTGAATTATTTAACAAAACTATTTCAGTTTCTCTGTGCGTCTTTTGGGATTTAAGTAACGGCCAGAGTCCCGGTCTGCATAGTCAGAGATATTTATTCATTGAGAATTCTGCCATCACAATTTCAGAGTCCATCTTTTATACTCATACGTCATACAAAAGAAATCCCTCCCCTCTGTAGGCGGGCTGTAGTTTTCCACTCTAAAACTGCTCTACTGACCTTCAGTTCACACACACACACATATACACACATACATACACACATACACACACACACACACACACACATATCCTACTCCCTGCTTTACTCAGTTATTGCCGTTCTCACAATATTCTGCACCATGTTTTCATAACAGTTTCTCCCCTCCCTAAATTGGGAGGCCTCTTTATCTTAGTTTCTCAGTTGTCTTTGTTGTCTGGCCTAACTCTTACTCACATTGCTAAATAGTGGCTCAATGCAATGCCATAGCCTTTACTGGTCCTACACTCACACATTTCTAACACATTATACACAGTTTCAGGGTGTAATAATTAGTCATTAATAATGAATCTATCAATTCCACCCTTTGACTAAATTTTTACACACATACCAAAATATTGTTGTTATAGAAATGAATCACACTCATTAAAGTATATAAGTTGGTTTGCATATAAAAACATTACAGGTTCATCAGGTTACCCCATGATTAAAAGCGTAACGTTACTTTTTAGCAATGGTAACTAGTACATCATACTTAAAATGAGACTTTAATACACAAAAGATCATTACAATAACTTTAAAACTAGAGATTTATAGTTTCTAGGAAAACATCCAGTCTCAAATTATCTGGATCGTCGTCGTCCTCCACCAAGCCTGGTAGGTCATATCCTTCAGTCGGAGTCCGGGATTGGGCCGTATCTCACCATCTGTTGGGAAACCGCCTTGCTCACCAACCCTCAGACACAGGGAATAAGACAACATCCACAAAGAACAAGTATACCCATGGAAGCTATAACTTCACCCAGAATAGTTACAACAATAGTTTTCCATTCACCAAATATGTTATCAAACTAACCGTTTAGGGAGCTATCAATACCAGAGTTCTCAGCCAGTTCGTTCGCCAGCGTGGTGAGTCCCTGAAGCGCTTTGGTCACGGACCCGTCCGGTGCTGTATTGTTGGGGATTGAAAGTACAGCACATAGATCCAAACAGAACACAAACTCCATCCCGCTCAGCCAAAAGCATATCTAAAGCTATTCTATTCTGCCATGTCATTAAGCTAGTTGCCGCTGTCTGCTCAGCTAATCCCTTTATTGCATCACGAGTGTGGTTTATAAATCTTTGCTGGTTATAGTACATATAATTTATCCAACCTACGCTTTTATTAATTGTTGACCACCAGAAAATACTTGATTCAAACCCAGCTGCGATTTGATTCCTAGCTTTGAATTCTTCTGGAACCCCTCGAGGTACTCCTATCCCATCAATATATATCCTTTCATCAAAGGATCCCGGGAGGAGGTCCTACTTTTCTACGTGACAACTCACCAGTCTCTGACACGTTTGATTTTTTGCATATGTAGGTGAGTTCACAATCTGTTATCACCACACAACCATCAGATGTCAGCACGGGCCTGGTTTTGGTTCCTAAAATCCTCTGGCTGCAACAAAGAGGAGAGATTAGTCATGGTCTCTTTAGGTGTGACATTCTCTGTGTGGGAGCAGGAGCTAAGATGCCCTACCCTGTATCCTATCCTTACTAGTCCTAGAAAAACAATAATAAGAATCCCCTGAGACTTCAAACAGAGGCAACCTAGGTCGGGGTGACTTTGTTATCAGGGGATACAGAAAGTGCAAGTTACTACCAAGACTCTTTCACCACATTCCCAGGTGGCTTGCATGGAGGATAAACCTGACAGAGAGTCAAAGCCTGTCAAGGGGAACGGAGTAGTTGTTAACCCTGGTTTGGCTGTCCCACAGGCAAAACAGTCCTTTTAGACATAGTTCTTGCCGTATACTGAATCCATTCCAACCACAGGTTAAAGATTTCTATACCCCGTTTCCATCTGGTACTACTTCCTTCAGGTCTATAGTTTGCACTATCTTACCACAGCCCGGTCTCACCTCCCTCAGAGAGGTTACTCTATAGGGTGCCCATTTTGAAGGGATATCTCACTTTTTCGGGTCTGTAACCTTTTTTAGCGAAATTCAGCTTTCAGAACCCAAAAAACCCTTTAGGGGTTCGAAACTCCCTTTTTCGGGAAATTCCCTCTTTCAAAATACTACACCGGTCCTTAAACTGTGTATGGAGATTGACATACCCCCCCCGTTTGGGTATGACAACTACATAGTCCCAGGATGTACATGGTGACAACATTTTGGTGATGTCCTTCCCTACACCCCTTTACTTTCCCCTTTCTCTACGTCTATTTTGTCTCCTATGCCTTAAGACTTTTTTAAGGATTATTTTATAAATTTGGGTTGTTGGGTTTAACCTACTTTTTGGGGGATCAGGAGGTCTGATTGTGTTAGGAATATGGCCCCCACAATCAACGCTCCCTACCTCGGAGACCGTAAACCCCCACCCTCGCCCTGAGAAATGTCAGACCCCAAGGGCCCCAACCCCTTGCTTTACCTTCTATCGAACTCACACGGGGAATATCATACGGGGGAAGGGAAATTTCTTCGTTAAGGACCCCCCCCCCGACCCCCTAGGGGATGGGTTCTTTCCCAACTTTTTTTTTTCGTCAGGTGAAAGGGGGGTTTTCCCTTTTTTGCCGTGTTTCCCTGCACCCGGTGGACTAATAGGATTTGGGTAGGGCCCTTTCCCCAAAGGGCCTGTTTTCCATTTTTTCTTCTTGGGGAGGGATCCACACCTTCTCCGGGTTTAGATAATTTAGACCTTCCCCTTTTAGTTCACCGGGGGGGCAAAAAACCTCTGACTACGGGTGTGGTTAAACTCCCTTCTCACGTGTTTTTCTAGGGTGCTCTCTATTCTTTTTCTGCCTTCTGGTCCTCCCCAACGGGGCCCATTCTGAAAGGGCCCCTTAAAACCCACTTTCCGGGGGGGGGGTTTTTTTAAAACCCCCATGGGTTTTTTGGGGTTCTCTAAATTTTTTCCCCTTCACTCCGGAAAACTCTATAAAACCCCTTTTCCCCAATTGCTGGAAAGGGTATTTTACCCGGGGGAAATACCACCCTGGGTGCCCTTTTTTCTCCCCTTGGTATTTTTTTTGGGGAACAGATAACCCATTTTTTTTTTTATAATTAAAATCCCAGTGCAAAAAAAGGGGTTGTCTAATCTTTCACCACCCCTCCCCCCTTTTTTGAAAACATGTCACTGCCCTGGCCCAATTTTATCACCTACCAAAAATCACTTAGGTAATATTGGAAATTTTTTATCACCCAATTGCCACCCCTTTAAATTTTTTTTTTTTGGGTAAAAAAAACCTATCTTAAAGTCCTCCTCTCACCCCTTTAAAATTTAAACCAGTGTGGATAAATTAAATTAAACACCAAAAATTAAAAAAAGGTTCAGGGGGAAATTAAAATTTCCATCCCATATTATCCCAAAACATTCCATTATTCTAAAATATTTAAAAAATGTTATTATCCCAGGTTCTTTAATCCTCATACATTCATTCTCAAAAAAAACCCTATATACCCCAAACCACCCAAACCCAAAAAACCCTCCATAAAATTCACTGTGTGCTCCTCAAGACCTATCACCCTTGACCTGCTAAAACCCCCCAAAATTGAAACAACAAGGTTTTTAAAAACATCATACTGGGTGTTTTTGTTTTTTATTTAAAAACCCCCAAATTAAAAAAACACCCCCAAAAAGCCGGGTCATGAGGACTCCTATTTCTCTTTTCCCCCTTCTCCCCTACAGTTTTTTAAACTGGTCCCCCTTTCCTTTGCACAGTAACTATAGGGTTTCCCCTAAATATTCTCTGCAAAGTCCTTTTTTTCCCAAAATTTTGGTAACACTTCCACTAAATCCTTTTCTCCACTATTACCTTTTCCCTTTCTTGTCTTTCTTTGCTCCCCGTAACCTCTCTTCTCTCGTGGGGTTTATTAAACTAATAGTCTCACTTTTCTCAAATTCAACACAAAACCCCATCACCCAAAGGTCCCAGCAGAACTGAAAAAAAAAAAAACAGCTTTGGAAATTTTCCCGGACACTGCACCCTTTTTTTTCTGGGCCCCACTATCTCCCCGGGGAAATTTGGGCCCCCCCTCAAGGGCCCCCCCCCAAATTTCTCTTGGGAAATGGGAAAAACCCTTTTTTTGCTTTTGGTTTCATTGGGTATTTCTTTTGATTGGGGCCCATGATTTTGATTTTTGGGGACACCTTTACTGGAATTACCCCTTTTTTAATTTTTCCCAAAAATTTTGCGGACCCCCCGGGAAACCCCAAATGCTCTGGGAAATTCTTTTTTAATCTGACTCCTGTTGTTCTGTCAAAAGGGATTTTCCCCTCCTCACATCTCCCATTCTCCCTCCCCAAAAAAATTTCTATCTGTGGGTGGGCCCCTTTTTGATTTGCCACTCCCAATATTTTACCCAATCAGGGGACCCCTTACCCCGGGGTACCCCCTGGCCCATGGGCTTTTTCCCGTCCTTTTCTGGCTCCTTTCTAGGGACCAGGGGGGCTCCAATTTTCCCTGAAAAGTCTCTGCCCTTTGGGGCCCAGT